AAAAAAAAAAATTGGCGTGCATAACACCAATATGGATAATATTATCCCTCAGGCCCTGCCTCAGCTGTTTTTTCCTCTGGGAAGTCCTCCCTGATTCCCCCAGTTTGGATCAGGAGCCTCCTGTGGGCTCCTATGGTGGTTATGCTACCCCATCTCTGCTCGCATTCCTCCTCCTAGTTTTGACCCTCTGTCTGTGTTCCGTCTCCTACCCTGGTACCCACTCCAACCCTTCTGACTGTGCTCCTCAAGCCCCTAGATCGTGCCCCCATCCCGCCCCGAATCACCCTGACCGTAACCCCCTATCCCGGCCCTGACTCTTCTAGGCTGTCACTGTCTATGTGGGGGTCCACCTCCCTCCTGCGCAGAAAGCCACAGAGGGCAGGGATAAGGGCTGTCTTGGCCACCACTGTGTCCCACTGTCACCAAGGGCCAGTTGCTGAGGCGCAGATGACCTACACTCACCCCTAGGAAATATTTATTTACTCTCTCAACACATAATTTAACAGCTTTATAAGGGTATAATTTACCTATTATAAAATTCACCTGGCTGTGCCAGGTGGCTCACACTCCTAGCACTCTGCGAGGCCAAGGCAGGAAGATCATTTGAACTCAGGAATTCCAGACCAGCCTGAGCAAGATCACGATCCCGTCTCTACAATGTCATGGCAGATGCCTGTAGTCCTACCTACTCGGGATGCTGAGGCAGAAGGAGTGCGTGTACCCAGGAATTTGAGGTTGCTGTGAGCTATGATGATGCCACCACACTCTAACCTGGGCAACAGCACTCCAGCCTGGGCAACAGAGTGAGACTGTCTCAAGAAAAAAAAATGTTTGTTTAAGTGACAACCATTCTGAATGATTTTACAGTTGTGCAACCATCACTATCCAATTTTAGAACATTTCTGTCACCATAAATCTCTTTTTTCAGTGGCATGTGTAGCTCAGTGGGCAGGGCACTGGCCACATACACATAGGGTGGCTGGTTGGAGCACGGCCCGGGCCTGCTAAGCAACAGTGACAACTGCAACCAAAAAATAGCCGGGTGCTGTGGCAGGTGCCTGTAGTCCCAAATACTTGGGAGGCTGAGGCAAGAGAATCACTTAAGCCCAAGAATGTGAGGTTGCTGTGAGCTGTGACGCCACAGCACTCTACCCAGGACGACAGCTTGACACTCTGTCTCAAAAAAAAAATCTCTTTTTTCCACTTTCAATTGCCTGTTCCCAGCCCAGTCCCAGGTAACCCCAGGTCCACTTTCTGTCACATATGGATTGCTTCCTTCATTTTGCAAGTATTTTCTGAATACTTATTTTCATTGGTTATTGAGTACTGAGGATACACAATGGTCCTGTCTTTAGGGAACTCAAAAGTCTGGCTGCAGTGTTAAGTAATGGGGGAAGTAAGTCCACTCATTCATTCATTCAAAAAACGTCTATTGCACACCTGCCATATTCCCACTCTTTGGGGCCCTGGGGATATATTAATAGCACTGGAAGGAAAAGAAAAAGACAAAAATCTCTACTCTGCTGGAGTTGATACTTTAATGCAGGCGTCCTCATACTACAGACCCCGGGCCAGCGGGTATTTTTGCCACCACTGCCTGTCTTGCTTAGCAGCTGACTCATCCCGGGGCCCACAGTCCGGCTCTCCAACGGTCTGAGGGACAGTGAACTGGTCCCCTGTTTAAAAAGTTTGAGGACCCCTGCTTTAATGGAAAGATGAAAAAATAAAGAACTATGCAGGCCAGGTGCTCTGGGAGGCCAGGCAGGGGGATCCCTTGAACTCAGGAGTTCAC